GGTTTTAATAAGCAGTTATTATTTTATGACACAGAACGCGTTGGTGAAACTCATGCATCTAGCAAGAACTTAATACACAAAATAGTCATATTGATTCAAGCACTTAACATTTATGAATGAATCAAATGTCAGTAGCCTAATGAACAATACTGTACAAATTATAGTGAGCACGAGGTAGTTCAATACATATATAATAATGTATATGACCCTTCATAATACATATATACATAAAACATTTTTTTACTTTACAGAACAATTATAATTTAAAACAGTATCTTAATTTTAAGAGTCTTCATCTGCATTTTTAGAGAGTTAAAACAACAAACATATATATGCAACCAAATTAAAAATATATATTTTATCTGTTTATCTTGCATGTCATGCAATCACTAATCGACATCAGAGAACCATGAACATGTGCTTGTGACTTTACATCATTGAAATATTAACAAAATCTCAGGGGATATATTTTGTTTCTAAGAGGTTCAGCTGTCAAAAAAAGTGTTTGGGAAAATATATAAAGAGTAAAAGCAGTAACACTGAAATTGTACAATTTTAAATAACTCTTCGGTTTTAATATATTTTATACTGTCACTCCTTTGATGGCAAAGCTGAATTTTCAGCAGTCATTACTTCAGTCTTCGGTGTTGCATGGTCCTTCAGAAAAGATTCTGCAATATGATTTGATGCTCAAGAAACATTTCTCATGTCATTATAAATGTCTCTACTGACACATTCAATTTAAAGTGTCCTTGTGGAATAAATGTATTAATTATTATAAGTATTAGCTTAACCCTAAACTTAATGAAACATTTTTTCCAGGTCATTTTGGACTTTTGAATAACCAATAATGCATCAAAAATGCTGTTTCAGATTCAAACATTTATTGCATCTGACATAAGAAACCTGGTGTAGGCGATTCAAAAAATTCAAATAAATACAGGTACTCATGTAAAACAATTTCCTAATGAAGCATTATACATAATGTACAATTTTTTCTTTTTTTGTCATTCTATAATTTTTTTTTTTTTTTTAAATAAAACAGTTTCATGCAGAATATCCTGAAAAAAAGGCAGCGCCAAAAGAAGAATGAATAGTGGAGAAAAACTGTGCTTCAAAGTAAAGAGAAGGCGAGTGTGTACATGTGTGTAAACAGATTGTGCGGCCCACCCAAGTTCAGCTTAATTGCGAAGAAACGAAAGGTGAAATAAAAACACTTGATTATGTGTTGAAAACATCTGTCAGCATAAAAATCATAAAAGCCTGCACCGAATACTAAACTGAGTCCTACACAGCATACACTGTGTTTACATGTGCATGTAGGGGGTCAGTAATCTGTGTCCGACCCCTCTGCATTGTCCACATTGCGAGAGAGCATGTAGTTGTCCATGTCGATAGAACGGCAGTTATTAATAGCATAACGCAGCCGCTCCGCCATGACTGGTTGGCTAGAGTAAGGTGGGAGGCGGAGCTGGAAGAAGCACGTCTGAGAGGTGGGAAGACTGTCGTACGGCTGAAAAACAGAACACACACACATTAGCCACTTTTCCACTGGCTATAAATGTCTATCCATAAAAACACAGACACATTCTTACCCGGTCCACCTTCATGATCTGGAACCTCTGGGATATATCAGCAGTGTTAGCTGGCAGACGAGAGCGTCCCGAGACGAAGCGCATGAAGAGGACTCTCTCCTCATTGGAGAACTCCTCCAGCGTCTGCCAGAACCACTGCACCAGCTGTTGCTGCTCGTCCACCTCCCTGTAGCGGACCACCTTCTTCAGAACCTCCACGCTGATCTCCGGCAGCCCGCAGACCATCTGCTCCAGCTGCCGCGCTGTTAGTAAGGAGAGCAAGGGAACAGGCACGATCCAGGACATGCCCTCGCGCACCGCTGCCACCTAACGTGCATTCAGAGGTGAATGCAAAAGAAGAGATGAATAACAGGATCAGATGACAAGCCATGATCTAGGTGTGGATACACTCCCACATATTCAAGGTAAGGATACACTGGTTTAGAGTCGAGCTGAACACACCTGGCGTTCCATTTCATGCAGGCGATACTCAATGGCACGCTCTACATACTCCTTCCTATTGGAAAAGGTCAGCGGTATGCTGTTTCCTCCGGGGATGATGGGAACCATTTTCCCATCTGCACTTTGGCCAACAAAGGAGTCCAGTGGAATCATCTATTTATATATATATATATATAAAAAATAAAAATTGAACAAAGAAATATACACTAAGTATAATAAAGTCAAAGAAATTAAACCAATTAAAAAATGCCCATGTTTAAAGTAGACATTATAAGATTTGAAAGCCCCCAAGTTACTTCTGGTGTAATGACAATGCTGCTCATTTTTTAACATTTATTTATAGAAACGAGGAAATAAATGAAAGATAAATTGATTTAATACTTAAATATTTATATAAATATTATAAATAATACGTATATTAATAGTAGTAGTAATAATAATAATAATATTTATTTAAATAAAAATAATTCTAAAAGTTTAAATAACAATGCTCTTTACACTTTTTTTATTACCAATTAATTTAAGACTTTCCTAGCCATTTATGATTAAAGGTTTTTAAATGTTTTTGCTCAAAATTTGTACCTGATAAAATATTTTAGAGCTTGACATAACTAGAATTTTTTTTTTTTTTTACAAGAAAAATATTTTCATTAACCATTTTTCTATAACTTTTTAAGATTTTATTAATATTCATGACTTTTCCAAGTCTAAAGATCACATTTTTATCCAGGTTTTCCAAGGCTGTGGGAATTCTGTTTCTTAAAAATAAAAGTTGTTGAGGGAACAAATTAAAATAAGAAATATGAGTTCAGCTTAAATCTGATTTTTTTTGTTTTAGCTTAGTTTAAAGCATATTCAGTCTAATTTTGAGTCATTCCAAACCACCTTGGGGCCTATTGGAACTATGTTGAAGCCCCCTGCTTAAGATCTACTGAGCTAGACGGAGTAAATAATTCCTTCTATTATCCTCTATGAGAAACGGAGTAAAAACAAGTATTTTATGGGAGTCCACAGCACCTCATGAAAGTTCTGCTCTGTGATGCCGCTGTCCTCCAGGTGTAAGATGCTGTTGAGGGTCTGCACATACAGCAGGTCCACTTCCTCCAGATCTTCAAGAGTGAGAGGAATACAGCACAGCTGCTTCCACACCACTGGAGCGAGATGCAGGTCTAGAGGCTTCTTAGTGCGGATGGCCACTCCCATCAGAATACCCAAGAACTTGAACTGCAGCAGGTGCTCTTCCAGACAGGCTGAGGGGTTCAGCAAGAACCTGAAGACACACGAAGATCAAAAAAACCTGATCAGTTTATTAGTTTGGTGGAATACAATATTCAGACAATTGTCTGTCAGCACTCACCTGTCTCGGTTGTAGCCCACCTCTGCTGCGGCGTTGGGAGAAGGGATGAGAAGATCCACCACTCCTGTCTCCAGCTCCTACACAAGAGCGATATGCCCCAATTTAATGCTCTTGTCATTTTTCATAAGGCTGAGCCATAATGGGTTCATATACACATCTTCGTCAGTAAAGCCCTACCTGGCACATCTCTGTGATTGTGTCGTCAAACACCCCTCCGGCATCATCTGCCCCCTCTCCCACAAGCTTGACTTTCCAGGCTCGTGACGGCAGCCTTAGATCAGATGCGTTTAGTTTCACAACCTGCCTGGCGATCTGCACAAATATGGGCTTACACTTCCTTCCTCTGAGAAAGCAGGACAAAAAAAGGGGGGAAAAAAGAATGATTGAAGAAGTTCTTATGTTCTACCTTGAATGAAAATGAGGCAAAGAAGGTCTCCAGTGTTCTGGCTGCAACTCTGAACATGACTGACCGTGTAGAGATTCTTTTGACTGTAATCTGTGGGCCGTAATTCTTCCCCTGCACCATGGTCTTCCCGATAGAGCGCACCATGGGCAGTGTGTAAACTCTAGGGGCCAGCAGGGGCCTCAGCTGACCCTGGACTATACCCCATGTACCTGCATTATAGCGTGACGTGCAGCTCTGAAACACAAATGATTCATGATTGAACCAGACAGTGTTCATGGAGGTTTTTTCCCCTAACAGCCTCAGAGACTGCTGCAAACATGACATGTTAGTGGGTGTATACCTGGTTGTTGGGGCTGAGGTTCAGCAGTCTCCATGAGGAGTACATGAGGTCAGAGAAGTGGTAGAGCAGGCGCAGTCGGGCTCTCAGAGCCTCTATACTGACCTCTCTTAGGACACTGTACTGAGGAGGCACACACAGGGGCAAGCCCAGCTGCAGAGGCACTGATGAACCTGAACACACAAACACTCCATCTCAACAACTGATCAGCACAGCTACATGTTTTTTTTTTTATATCATTACTGAACTGAAATAATTCAGTCTAATTATGATTTTCACAAATAACTGTGATGCCCTCCATTTAGGGATTTTTAAGTGAATATACAAATAACAGGCCTGTCAAATTCATGTGAAGGTAACAACACGTCACATTCCAGATTTGTAGAAATCTCTTCCTTATGAGGAGGACATCAAAAAAACTACACACTAAAATGTGAAGATTTTTATTTATGCAAAATCAGAGCATCTGCAGTATTATTTAAAAAAAAAAATCAAACTGAAGACTTTTAAAGACCTTTTTTAAGACCTACATAAATAAAATTAATACCATATGAGCAGGATAGGGCAGTGTCTATGTATGTTAAGATATTAAACCGTAAAATGAATGTAAAAGCATGATTTACAGTTCAGATACAGGTGTTCACAAAAACAGCATTTTTATTAAATGATAAACTTCACATTTGAGCCTCTAAACCATTTATAAGAAAAGGGATTCAAAAGTCAAAAGCACATATTATATATCTTAGTGTCTTAATTGTTTAGATTTGTATAATGCATTAGCTTCTTGTCAATCCACCGGTTGACATTTACAACTCTGCGTGTTTGCAGCGTAAAAACAGCGCTAGATTTTCACATTGGTCTGAACAAAAACAGCAGGCGGGCTGATTGAAAATGCATATTCATTCTCTGCCAGCAGGAGGCGCTTTCGGAACAGCAGAAATATAGCGTTACCCGGGTAACCGCAGTATACAAAGCTGAGCAGCACTTGTCTTTGAAATGCAGCCTTTTGAAGTTTAATCGGCACATTAAGACATATCGCAATTCTTGTCTTTCCGTCCACAAATTTAAGACCTCTTGAAATCATAATTAAGACTTTCTTGTACCATTTAAGATTTTTTATGGCCTTAAATTGAATACAACTAAATCTAAGACTTTAAGGACCCGCAGAAACCCTGAAAAAAGACTTACAGGTTTCAGCAGACTGCTTTGAAATGTGTTACAAATAAGGAATTAGTGCAAAAAAAATATATACATATAACTAATATAACTAATATACTACAATATTGAAAAGTAATTATATTCTTCTAATAATACTATTCTAACAATAAAAATATTAATGATAGTATTAAATAATTATAGAAATAGAATACATATATGTGTGTGTATATATATATAAAATCATGAAAATGGCATTCATTACATTTTTCAACGAAACTTTTCACTAAATAAACAGATAATATTTGTCATTACATGTGTGTGTGTGTATATATATATATATATTTCATTAATATTTTTTATTATTACAATATTACTTCAAGAATGTAATATATAATTACTTTTCAATATTATAATATATTAGTTGATAATTTTATCATCATCATCATCTTTGCACTAATTCCTTATCTGTAACACATTTCAAAGCAGTCCAGTTAAACCCTTAAGCAGCTCTCATAAAGCCTCTCGTACCCGCTGACCCGTCCGACCGATGGCCGGTCAGCCGGGGTTCGTCTTTATTTAAATTTATGTGTGTGTTCCTCTAACATGTTTGGTTGGTAAAATAAATGTTGTAAATTCAAATCAGAGCATCTTCCGTGTCTGGATTGGATGTATTCTTGAGTCTATAAGGCAGTGGTTCTCAACCCGCGGCCCGTCACGAATTCAGATGCGGCCCACCATGCTGAACACAATTTAAAAAAAATACTTTCAGTTTTACAATTCATTTTAGTTTTTACATTAATTTAAAAATATACTAAATAAATATAAGCTATAGCCTAATGTTTTTATGTAAAATAATTTTGTTTTTCATATATTATTTTCAGACATGAGCAGTACTCACATAGCCTAATTAACGTTAGGCATTTAAAGTAACGACCAAGTGGCCAGCGGCAGACAGTGAGCATATGTTTGATTAATTTAGCCTTTTCAAATCATCGCGACTTGACTAAAATAAAGGATCGACAACTTCATCCTTGCGACACAGACTCAGAAAACACTAGTTTATTAGTAAATAATTAAAATATGTTTCCCCCTGACGCATTTATGGTAATTACTTTTGCCGATACTTTGCGGCAAACTTAAGCCTATTGCGTGCATTTGAACGCAGAACTCTTTAGCTGCGCTGACGGCACACACCATACATGCTGCTGCTGCTGGACACTAAACACCGTCGAGCCGCTCTTGACAGTCTCGGTAGCACAGTCTCGTGTTGTTTCCACCAGCGAGGCAATTTTTTCATGACTAATTGATGGATGTCTAAAATATAAAAATAAGGAGAAGCCTAAAACAGGCCCGAGGCCCTGCCCGCGTCTGAACTATGACGTAAAAATTGTCCCGAAGCCCGGCCCGAGGGGCGTAAAAAAGTTGGGGCCCGTCGGGCCTGGGCTGAAATGCAGGGCTCTAGCTCTGATCTAGCACACAGAAAACGATTTGACTGAAAATGTATCAGAAGAGATGAAAGAAAGATAGTGGTCATCTGCACAATTCGGAAAAAGAGGCGGCTTTTCCAGGTGTTTTTTTTCTTTCTTTTTTTTAGTCTTTGTACAGCAGTTATTGTTCATTCTAAATTATTTTTTTTAATGTAGAATATGTGTTACATAAATACATGAAATGTAGAACATATAAAAAAGTGCTTGTGGCTCGTCTGCCAGTGGGTAGTGCGTAGTTTTTTTTTTTTATGTCCTCATTCCACAGCCAACTTGAAAACAATAAATTTACTAATATACAATAATACTGAATAATAATTATATTCTAATAACAATAATATTAATAATAATAATAATAATAATAATAAATGTCAGTGTGTATGTGTCTGTCTGTACCTGGAGCACGTGGCGGTACAGGCGGTGCAGTCCATGCTGCACTGTGGCAGCGGCCTGCAGATACCTGCTGGATGTTTTTGCCTTGTAAAGCACTGATGAGGGTCGGCTCTCTAACATGGTTGGTGTGGCCCAAGCCCAGCTAATACAAAATTTACAAAAACACAAACGGATAAATTTCTATGCTATTGTTCAGATATTACATAAAACCAATGGAAAATGGCAAAAATAATTAGTTTGTTAATAAAAAATACAACAACACAAACTGATAAATGTCCATGCTATTATTTAGATAATACATAAAACCAATGGAAAATAGAAACATAGTTAGCTTATTAACCCCCCTAACAATCACACACCTGTCCCTCTGAGTTGCTCCCCCAGGCATAAACATCTCCAGTTGATGAGAGAACAAGCGTGTGTTCGGCCCCAACAGCCACATCTTCTATAAACACGGCCATTAAAGCAGGGACTTGCTGAGGCCGGTTATGATTTCGTGCTCGACCCTCTGGCAGACCAATCAAGCGATCTGTCACATTATAGCAAAAACAATTGAATAAAAACACTGGACTTGCTTTAACATTCAGCAAACAGTTTATAGAAGTGTGAAGCTTCTCCCTGAGATATGTCTGCGGATGGCTTACCCTGCCCAAATGTGTACACGTTTCCATCTTTGGTTAGAGCAACAGAGAACTGTGTGCCACATGCCACCTTCTTTATTCCAATTCCACACAAAACATCCACTTTCTATCAAATAAACCAACAGACTTAATTTAGCGAAGACCAAGAGTTTTGTTTATGACATGTAATGTTTTATTGTATATGCTTGTGATGGTGTTGTCACATTAGCGTGTCAGTAGTTGTACCTGTGGAGAGGATTTGGCTGTAGAGTTTCCCAGTCCCAGTTTGCCATAGTCTCCATCTCCAAATGCCCAGACGGTCATTCCATCAGCCGATACTGCCAAAGTGTGATTCAGCCCACATGCAACCTACACACAACCATGATACCATAAACATCAGATAAGACAGTGTTCAGAGGCTGTTCAAAACTCCACACTGAGAATCTGGGATTCAAAATCCAATTTAAACATGGAAATAAACAACATTTATTTATATAAGAAATAGGGGATAAATAAATGCCTTCATTAATTAATTCTTAATACATTTAATATAATGTTAAATATATAATATAAAAATATATCATAAAATTTTTTTTATTTTTTAAAAACAACAACTTTTGAATGGCACTGTATGAAGAAAGTCTTACCTGCCCAACCTGGTGGCCCTCCAGTGCACTGACTCTCTCTGGTAACTTTTTGTTAGAGGTGTTTCCAAGTCCCAGTCTGCCATAATCTCCATTACCAAAGGAGAAGAGCTTTCCGTCTGCAGTCACCACCGCTGAGTGTTTAAATCCACACGACATCTGAACACAAACACATATTCTGATGTAGGGCTGCACGATAACGGTTAAACTGATAATCACGATTATTTTAACTTAAAATTATAATAAAGATTATTAAAAACGAATATTCTATCAAAAGGGTGAATGCAATAACATTTCATGTATCCTTTAACCAACCTCCACTGACTACACACTGACTTCATTTAACCAACTATGATAATGCAAAACTCATGGTTTTGGTTAGTGTTTTGTAATCTGTATTCACATTAGATTTTCTAAGTGAAAATTTGTTCGCAAATGAGACAAGCCACTCAAATCGCACAGCAAATTTGCTCAAAAGTCATTAATACACACTGAAAACTAACATTGCCATGCCGTTTTTAACTGATTAACATTATAAAACTGGTAAAAACTTTAGAAACTCTTAACATAACGTCCAACAATTCCAATTTATGTACGTCACATTTTTCCCCATTGTATTGCCACAGGTAGCAAAAGCGCATTTATTCCTCAAACACAATAGATCCATTATTGAAACTCGGTGAAAGTTTGATCATGGCAGATTTGGTTACACAAGCAGCACAAATGGCTTGTGAAAAAAAAGCATTGGCTGTATGACACTTTCCTGTAAGCAGGATATCGCTGTGGAGAGATCGCTAAACTCCAGCACATGTATGTTTTCATATCATCAGCGCTTGCATGTTCTACCATCAGTGAGCGCACACAGGGTTGCCAGTAGTGTTGTCACGGTACCAAAATTTCAGTATTCTGTACCAATAGCAGTGAAAATCCACGTTTCTCTGTACCAATTTCGGTACCAAAGCAAAAGACAAAAACATGCTAAATAAAAAAATTTGACTATACTTTCATTTAATCCAAACTGTGTACATATTTCATTTTAAAGAGCTTTTAAAACCTTCTAGAGTTATTCAGCCAAGAAATAAAATAAAATTCTGACTGATATGACACAAACAATGTTAACCATTTGTACATTCTCTAACACGCATATTTTAGATTCACAATTCATTTAAAAGCCTCTGGTGTGTAAAAATAGTAAATATCAGTTCTTTTACCATAAAAGTTATAGGAGCATTAAATAGTTATTAAAGAAACTTCATTCTAATGCTCATTATATTAGCGTTAACCGCGCTTATGCTAACGATTAACTACTCTAATAACAGCGGTTCATTTCAATCCGACATTCAAATTAAAATATTGAATAATATTCATAAGAGAAGCGGTGTTTCCCACAGACTTGCACTCTATTTGTGGCGGCATATATATGCCAATTCATTCTCTGCCAGCAGGAGGTGCTTGTAGAGCGGGAGAGATAGAGGTTTCCCCAGTAACGGCTGTAATCAAATAAGCGCTGTGCTCACAAACGCTGCTCAGGCATTACAGGCAAGATGAAATGAAAATGACATCCATAATTTTCTGAAGACAGTCGGTTTCCTTCAGAAACACCCGCACCGGTTTTCGACTTCGACACGTGCAGTGCTCATGTTTATTCAACGAAGTCAAAGCCTTTTGGAAAATCTATTTGTCGCGGTGAGTTTTGATATTGTGGCGGGCCACCACAAATAAATCAATGTATGGGATGAAATTAAATTTACCTGCTTGAACGCTTTCATTTAATCCAGGTGTCTGTCTTTAAAGTGTTTTGTTAGTTTGGTGTGTTTCCTCCTTTTGAGGTCAACATGTCGCATCTGTGCACCTTTCGGATAGCGCATCAAGAACCGGGTTCTACTCGGTACCACCGGTACTTAAAAAAACCTGGTACTGTACTGTTTTCATTTTTTTTGTACCGACTTTGTACCGAAGTACCGGGTCTTTTGACAACACTAGTTGCCAGATTGCACAGATTAAGTAAAACACCGGGCATAAAGTGTATCCTTAAAGGAGATAAACTCTGTTTTGGGGCTTAAAGCTCTTCAAATCTGGCAACCACAAGCACCAAGACTTGTTAGCAATGCAAGATAACACAAATGCCAAATTAAAAACACGTTTTCAGGATAAATAATGAGCCGGCCAATATCGTGACTCTTGTTTTTAATTAACCGAGAAAGGTGGATATCTTTATCGAGATTAAAATACGATGAATCGTGCAGCCCTATTCTGATGAACTTCATCATATACACCTCACAGGAAGAAGAAGAGGAGAACTGGAGAGGCATCTAGGCGCGATTAGGAGTGAGGGTGAATTTGACAAGTTTTTCTGACCTGCACCACCTCCTCTCCCTGCAGTGCCTCTATCTGTCGCGGCCTTCGCTGTCTGTCACTGTTACCATGGCCCAGTTTTCCGTAATCTCCATCTCCCCAGCTGAACACCTCGCCACTCTCAGTTAGAGCCATCGAATGGCCATCAGACCCACAGGACGTTACTAGCTGGGTCACCACAAAGCCTGCCCAAACACACAGCACACTTGCTGTTAACACTTTTAGGGTATTGTAACATATATAATGAAAGTTATTCAGAGTTTGTGTGTGATTGCAACATGCCTTGCAGAGCAGATATGACAGTGAGGACGTGCAGATCGTCTGAATTTCCTTGTCCGAGGCGGCCATAACTGCCCTCGCCACATGCAGACACTGTTCCGTTAGCCTGGATCACAAATGTGCAGTTCTGCCCACAAACAACCTGACCAAACAAAAATGAATAAATAAAATTAATTTGTTAAAAAACAAATGTTGTGTGTTTATATACACTCATACCTGTTGGGCCTGAGAAAAAGAGGGAGCCAGAGTTGGCACCAGAATGTTTCGCCCGGCCTCGGCGAGCTGTCCATGCCTGCCAGCACCCCATAAAAACACATCACACTTCCCTCCAAGGTGCCAGTCCTTAAAAACATAAATTAAAAACATTTAAATATTATATAATATTTATTATTTAAATAAAATATTATATTTTATTATATAATAATAAATGTGTGAATGTTTTACTTCTGGTCTGGAAGTGGCCCATGACATGATCTGCTCATCCAACCCAGACACCCACTTGCTGTTGTCCTGTGTGCAATTTTTAAAAAGGCTGTGATCATCATGAACGGCACAGTTTTTCACAATTAAATCATTTAATATGTCAGTCTCACTGCAGGACATTTGTATGTTCTTTCTCTCACCATAAGCAGTGCCAGTTTGTCTTTGGCCACGGGCTCCAGGTCTGGGACGATGAAAGACTCGGGAAAGGTGTGCCCGCGTGCGAGGGCTTCGGCCGTTTTGACGGTGGTGGAAAAGCAGTGAAGCCACGCCCACTCACTGTTGGCCCAGGAGACGGGGGAGGGGGTGGAGGAGGAGCCAGGCTCAGGTGGGCAGTGGGCCAGGTGAGGTGGGACAGGAGGGTGACACAGCAGAGCGTCCAGCTGCAGACCCACCGCTAGAGACGACAGACACTGCATGTAAGGACTGTGGACGAGCTGCTCTCCGCACACCACATGAGGCTGCAACACAAATAAACCAGGTATACGCAACAGGAAATCACATCAACAATGTCCCTATTTTTTGCATTTTTACATGAACAGCATTCGCTAAAATGATATCATAATTAGAAGTTGTGTGTACCTTCTCATACGCATACTGCTCCTGAAGCATGATGGGAAGTCTCTCCAGGAAGGCTCTCATGCATGGAGCCATGTTCAGTCCCACAACGCCCTGCTTTTTTAGTGCCATGCGGCAAGTTGCTAAGACGTGATTGGTTGACATGGACTCTGCTGAGCTATTAACGACCAGCACATCCTGCAGAACAAAAACATTTCTTATGAAGTTACATCTTTTCTGAACAGAAATGGGCATCAATCAAAACATATACTTTAAGAAAATAACAAAAAAAAATAAAAACAGAATATAGTGTAACTGCCCCTTATATTTTGTTTTTAATGTTTTTTTTCCTACTGTTTTCCTTTAATAATTGAATCAGAACTGTTAGGAACAGTCATGTTTTTTAATTACATTTTACTTATCTATTTTATTTATATTTAATTATGATATATGTTATGTAACCATAAAGGCTTTGTTTATTAAAAACAGAGAGTAAAAAAACAACATCTTTTCTAGATTTAATTAAAAAAAAATTATCAAAATGAATGAAAATCAACTAAAACTTAAACATTCGGGATTCTTTTACCTTTGAGCGATTGGAGCAAACAGCTACACCTACGTCAGGGATCCAAACTGTGCTGTTAATTGCTCCAGATCCAGCAACTACTGTCTGCAGCACTGATCCATCCTACATGTATAAACATATGCACAAACGTCATGAAAACACAATAGTGAATCCTTTGAAGTTTGTTTGTTAGGACTGTAAGTTAGCCTGTATGCATTTGTGAAGTGTGTGACCATGTTAGACACTGACCTGCAAAGACCAGATGTTCAAAAGTCCGCCAACTCCTCCAGACACAAGAGCAAGCCCATCTGGACTGAACGCTACTGTCCGCACAGGAGTCATATGACCCTGCAGCTGGAACACACACACTGCTCCTTCACACCGCTGGGGGTCCAGCTGGACAGAGATCAGGGAAGTCACATAACACACATAAACATAAATTCTAACTGATAAGGAAGCACTGATAGCAAAGCATTTAAAGGTTTTTGATTGCTCGTATGTATGGACACGTTACCATCAGTTTGGATTTGAATTCTGATTCCCACCAGGCATCAGGGCAGGCAGTGCTGGACTGTGAGTATGAAGAAGGGTCCTGCGGTACCGTCCACACAGTCACCAGACCATTCTGACAACATCTGTGAAAAAGATTTTTAATCCCTCAATGATGTTTATGATCATATTCTTATTTAGGTTAAGGACATATTTCACAATGCACACTTAATGAATAAAAGGTGAAAATATATATATAATTACACCCTTATGACTTTAAAAAGGCCTAACAAACTGAATTTTGATTTATGTAATAAGAAAAGTCATGTGAAACAAATGAAACAAAAATAAATCAATAGCAGTAACAATCATAAAAATTTAAAGAATGATTATTTGCTGTTATACTGAAAAAATGTTGCACTTGTACACCAGGCAATAACATTTGGCATAATCTTAAAAGAGAACCGTAAATTTATGAACAGTATTTGAACTACTGTTCAAATGTTTGATGTTAAAAATAAATAAATACTTTTATTCGGCAAAGAGCTTTTGACCTCATTATTTATCAAATAATAATTAAACAGGTAGCATGGTTTCCACAAAAATATTAAGCAGCACAACTGTTTTCAGCATTGATTATAAGAAAAGTTTCTTGAGCACCAAATCAGCATATTAGAATGATTTCTGAAAGATCATGTGAAACTGAAGAATGGTAATGATGCTGAAAATTCAGCTTTGCCATTACAGAAATAAACTACATTTGAAAATATATTCAAATAGAAACTGTTTTTACAATATTTTACTTGATCAAATAAACACAGCCTTGGTGAACATAAGATACTTCTTTCAAAAACATTTAAAAAAATCTCTCTACCCCAACTTTTGAACGGTAGTGAAATTCTTCTGGTTTTTCATATTCCCAAGTTAAATAAAGCAAAACTGGATTTAGTTCTCTCAAGTATTAGAGTACACTCTGTCTGGACGTACGTGGCAAACATGTTGAGAGGTTTAGGTCCCTGACCAGGCAGGCTGCACCAGGCAACAGCATTGACAACAGCAGGATGGGTGATACTTTGCAGACATGTCCAGCTTTGACCCAAACCTGTCCCTGACACTGTCCATAAACGCACAATCTCCTCTTTAGCACAGCTTAGTAACACTTGCCCACCAGGAGCCCAGCGCAACGAACTGATGCTTTCCTACAGTCACAACACACAAAGAGAGAAAAAAAGATTTGACTGCATGTTATGAAGGCATGTTAAATTACTTCTTCACACATGAATACAGACAAGAATACGTGAAAGTATATTACGCTTATGCATGTGTGTGTCAGTTTATGATCACAATGACTCTAACCTTGTGGGCATCTATAACCACCACAGATCCATTCTCTGCAGGCTCTTTAGAGCCAATCAGAAGCCTTCCATCAGCATATCCAACTGCAAAGGGACGATCCTCACTGTACCATGCAATTTGCATCACGGCCACTGTAGAGAAGAGCAACAAACATTGATACATACATGAAACATTTTCATAAAGTAGTCTTTACACAGTTTACGGTTTCATAAAAACTGTCAGTACCATCTTTCCTGAAGCAGTGCTGGAGTTCAGTTCTCTGCATATCAGAATCATCAAGAACCTCGAGAAGTCCCAGTGTCCCATCCATGCGACCCACTAACAGGAGCTCTCGAGGCTCCCCGCCCCACAGAGACCCTGCCTCCTCTTCTGGCCAAGCTAACGATGACACCCAATGAGGCTGCAGGTTCAACGAGGCCTTCCCACCTTGTGTGCAAAAACACAACATTAAGGATGTGCCAATATTACAATTCTGTCTGCTATTTATAAGCATGTTATGACTGAAAAATGAATGGCATTAAAATGTATATAATTTATTCTATTTTGTCTAAAATTAAAACACTGAGAACTACTATTAGTTTTTTCAACTGCTACAAGTGAATTTAGGCAATACAACATTAAAATGTACATTATGAAAAAAAAAATAATTACATTTCTTTAAAGCTGAATTTCTTTATAGCTGCTTCACAGTATTAAACAAGTAGAAGAATCAATGCAAAAATGAGACAAATAAAAAAGCAGCAGTAGCAAGACAATAGTGTCATTATTCAGCTCCAGTCAGTTCAGTTCAGTAACTGTGTAATGTTCATTCATCATGAAACAAGTTCAATTCAAGCTATAAGCAGCTCTACTGAAGACAGTAGTGTTGTTATTCAGCTCAATTCAGTTCAGTGTTGATTCAATTCACAGTTCAATTAAGTGTCGATGTTGCAAAATTCATTAATTATGAAAAAACAATTCAGCTATAAAGCAGAGACAATAATGACATTACTCAGCTCAATTTAGTTCAAATTTTATTCACATTTGATAGTGTCAGTGCCATCATCGATGATATTACTGAATATTAAGTGTCAAATAAATGCTGATCTTTCAGACTTTCCATTCATCAAAGAATCTTGAAACGTTCATAATAATAAATATTATTTGATTTCCAATTCAGCATATTAGAATGATTTCTGAAGGATCATGTGACACTGAACACTAATGTAATGTAGAGTAATGCCTGCCAAACTTTTGAATGGTATATACACTATATGGTGATGGTGAGCGACTCACCATTGACTTGCCAAATGTTTACTATTTTTTCCATGGCAGCAGCCAAGTACTTCCCACTGACACTCCAAGCCACTGGAGCCAAGTTTGGATCCCCTGGAGACCCCAGATTACCCATAAACTCCTCTGAAGTATCCTCTCTTAAGACAGACAAAAAAAGATCATAAACATCACATTTCAGTGAGTGAAAAACAGGCCTAATTAGGAGAAAGAGAGGAACTCACCCTTTATTAAAGACACATGTCTGCTGCAGAGTGTACAGGTTTTTGGTCACGTTCCAAATACGGACTGTCCCATCATTCCCGCTAGTTGCCAGAAGGCCTTTTTTACTACACCACCCACATGTGATCACCTACAAGAGACCAAATGATTCAGAAACTATTCCAGTGCTATTTAAACGTAGCAAACACAACATCGCTGGGGGAATCATACCCTGCTCTGGTGGGCCTCGAGTCTGAAAGTGGACCACTTCCGCAGGTCTCCTGCCACGTCAGCAAAGGTCTGCGGGCGGCTCTGGTTATCTCGGTCGTAAGCCGCCAGTGTGCGCACCAGCTGCTGCGCGGCCCATTGGCGGTGCTGCGACGAAAGCCGAGATGAGAGGCAGCATGCTGCCAATGCATTTGCCAGCTCCAATGGGCCTACAGCAAGGGGGGCACAGAAGAGGTGGGCATAGAGAGGCGACATTAACCCTGTGACGACCGAGCAGAACAAAGCCAGGACGCAAGCGAGATAGACATACACACGTGCCCACAGATGGGTACACAAACACACACAATGAGAGAAAAAAAACAAAACAGAAATTAAAATGGTGGTGATTTGTGGCAAAGACTGTGGTTTTCAAGCTCCAACAACAAAGCTTCATCTAACAATGCCTCTGCTGCCAAAACAAACACATCAAATCAGATTTATGAGATTTAACTGAACTGGAAAAAAAAAAACACATAAGTAAATAATGTGCCAGTATTCTCAAGCGGCTGGCTATATGTTAACTAACCTCTTTTTTCCAGTTCAGCCTTGTCGTAGCCGTGTCGAAGCCTGGCACCTTTATCGGCAAGCAAAGCTACCAGCGCCTGGGTCACCACAAAATTGGGCGACGTCACCAGCTTGTTTTCTTCCGCCACTCCCCTCAGGAAACTGGGCAAGAACTTTCTCTGAATTGGATCATCTACTGTCGTCAGATTCATCCCGGTGGCAGCTGATATCAGATTCTAGAGGAAAAGTGAGGCAGGGTGAGACATGAAAATATGTAACGCTTTTTGTTGTCTCGGTTTACTCGCTATTACTTCGCTATCTGTCTACCTGAGTGCACAGCTGGACCAGGAGTTTGGCAGCGGTGGGGCTGTTCGATGCCAGACAGCCAACGGCGGTACTGAGGTACGCCAAACAAGAGATGGGTTTGGTGGGCTTGCTAGCCCCTCGTGGGCGCTCAGAGTATCCAGGGCCTAATGTAAGGCCTGTGGAAAGTCCAGCTCTACCTGCCGCAGCCAAACACATCAGACGCACCAGAGTCCTAATGTCCGTCAAGCCCAGAGACTCCAATCCTGCTGCTAGACTGCAACTAGAGCCACTAAAGAGCAGAAATATGAGTCAAGAAAGACAAACACACATATACAAATATATATATATATATATATATATATATATATATATATACATATATATACACACTGTAAATACACACATACAGTAACTGTATTAAATATTAATAGAAATAAAGCCTAAAAAAACCCTTAAGATATGGCTTAGTGTCATTCTTAAATCACAAAGGCTGAGATTTAAATAAATATATACACTGCATGTTTCAGAGTGAAACGAGGCAGTGTGTTCTTTCACACGTGAGCAGCTCCACATAAACGCATCTCTGCATCTGCTCAGTTTGGATCGCTTATAATGTGAATTTGGGAATCTTCTTGCAATGAAACACTCTTAACAATCGGCTGTAGTAAATAAGAGACGCTTCAAGGTTTCCCTGCTATAAGCGCATAAAAGGGCAATGGTTTAACATTTTAAATGAAGAAATTAATCATAAATTACTATAAAGTGGAAAATACAATCACTAATATTACAGTGAAATTAACACAATTTTAACATTTTTATTTGGTAATGATAATCATAACAATGATATTATTATTATTATTATTATTAGTGGTTGACCGATATTGTTTTTTTGACAGCCGATGCCGAGATCTTGGAAAGCAGGGTGGCCGATGGCCGAAATAATTTTATTTTAAATTAATATTTAAGAAATTTGAAATAATAAAAAAATGGATTAAAAAAATAAATGTTTTAAATAAACATACTTATACTTTAGATGACAAAGTATTTTTCACAAATAAATAAATATTTAATAAATATAATTAAAAGGAAGTAAGCACTGTAACCAACAGAGCACTCAGTATTCTGGGAAGTTTGTGTGCATTGGGAATCACATTTTTTCAAATAAAGCCAAGTCATTTTACATACAGAACACAGTGAAAATGACATGAATATGGCATTGGGCAAATGCATAAAGTGCAGCATAATTTAAAATCATGAGTTTAAAGTTTGTCAATCGCACATCTGCAGTGAAGCTGAACTCTCCTCCTGTCCACATTCAATTCATATGAACCGATCATCACGCAGAGAACACGCAATCATGCAGGTCACATGCACACTTCACAAGATCTCACAACTGGATTCGACTAAGTTTGCAAGGTTTGTGAAATTAAATGTTTATTAGTCATTCAAAGATTTGTTTAAATTATATAAATGCGTATATGCTGAATGCTGACGGCAAACAAGAAAGTATTATAGCGCCTTTCTATTACTAATAATATAAAAGCAATCGTTATAATACTTTTTGTATACATTTTAATTCCTGTGTTTAACCGTTCTATCTGATTATTAGATGAATGAATGATGCATTTATATAGCGCTTTATTGTGTATTGTTGTACACCCAAAGCACTTTACAATCATATGGGGGGTCTCTCCTCAACCACCACCAGTGTGCAGCATCCACTTGGAAGATGCGACGGCAGCCACAGGACAGCGGCGCCAGTGCGCTCACCACACACCAGCTATAGGTGGAGAGGAGAAAGTGTCAATCAAGTGGTTGGGGATTATTAGGAGGCCATGATTGACAAAGGCCAGGGGGGCAATTTGGCATTAGATGTATTAGATAATCCGTATTAGAAAAATGCCGATATTTGAAAAATGCCAAATATCGGCCTTGGTGATATATCGGTCGACCATAATAATTATTAATAATAATAATAATAATTAGTAGTAGTAGTAGTAATATTAATAATATTATAATAGTCATATTAATAGATAATCAAAATATTTGGCTAAATTGTGCAGCCCCAGAAAATGAGCACAGCAATCCTGAAGCTTAAAAAATAAGCACACTTTAATAACGCAAATGGCAATTAAATCAAATATATAAACAAACACACTAACCTAACTGATAGCAGGGACAGCGCTCTCATGACCATTGTTCTGGCTAACAGGACTTGTGCAGCTGCAGTGACTCTTTTCAGAGCCACCAGGCGATCAGCAGACGTCTGCAGACCTGCCGCCTGCTCCCCCAAAGACAAGCGACCTGATGAGCTCTTATCCACTGAGCTCTGGCAACCTATTGATTGACAAAGGCCAGGGGGGCAATTTGGCATTAGATGTATTAGAAAAATGCCGATATTTGAAAAATGCCAAATATCGGCCTTGGTTTAAGGGGGTCTGAATACTTTCCGTACCCACTGTATACAAATCGTAGACAATATCTGTGAAATTACAGGCATTTTAAACCATGATGCATACTCTGAACCACTACAGTGGCAGATTCACACAATCACATTGGTGCTATTATTGTACCTATTTGCAAGAGAGTCTCCTCCATGCTGTTGGTTGCAGTGATCATGGCAACAGAAGCGCCGAGAGGATCAGTGTCTGGAAAATGGACAGCCTCGGGGACAGGTCTGCGTTCACTAAGACCCAGTGGAGCAGAGAGCAACTCAAACTCCTCTTCACCGGTCAGACGCTCTGCATCATCTACATCCAACATGTCCCAGTCTTCTGCAGGAAAAATTTGTATTTAGACTCAATGATCAAAACTGTAGCGGTTGTTAATAATTCTAACAAATTTTACATGCATTTTCTGTGTTTTTATTACTTGCTGCATTATGTTTTTGTTTTTTTATAGGTATACTTTGCATGTGGACACTTTTAATACCTTCATACACACAGTCTTGCTTTCCCAGCAGGTCTGGTGCTTGACCTTTATACCTGAAAAACAGAGATAAGTAAAAAATGTCAGATTCATGTGAATTCGGCTATGTCAACGCATGCATGCAAACTCTCATTCTCACCTCTCAGGCAGTGGCCCTTTGATCTTGCTCTTCATGTTAAGGTATTTCTCTCTGCAGCTGCCACAGAGCAGATAATAGGGATTTCCACTTCCACACTCCCCTCCGAACCAGCCGTCAACATAAGAGCCATTGCTGCGGTAACCCTGGCGATTGGCACTGCGACCACATCCCGGGTGACTCTTCTTCATGTGTTGGTTGAAACTGGACACGCTGACCCCACACAGCTCACACACAACCACCTCATCTCGGTCCTCTGACTCACACACATGCTAACACAAAAGCAAACAAGACAAAACCACACAACTGCGGTCAGATGGGAGAGTAAGTTAGTATATGAAGATTTGAAATTAACGAAAGCCAATGGAACATGGATCAGGGCTGAAGCAACCCAGAATGCATCTGCTGCTTCTGTACTGTGCTGGCAAAACATGCACCCGTGTTAGTGAGAGAGCTGCTGTGCTTCAGCAGAAGTTTTTTTGTGTCCAATATGAGGATGTGAGTGAGCAAACCATATGCAAGTACAATATGTGTGCTCTTGAAAGAAGGTGTAGGTGTGTGTTTGTGTGTACAGCCGTGCAGGGGTTAAAGGTGAGTAGTAAAGCAGCGGCAGCCCCAGGCTGCTGTCACACACACCCACGTTGGCCAGTCCAGTACCTCCGGGATCCACATTCCCAGAATGTCGGAATCTGATGCAAGCTCCTGGGTGAACATGGCCTCCATGGCTTCCTGATCCAATTCGAGCTCCAACTCTTCATCCAGATTGAAGTCGTACAGCGCCCCAAGAGGCCCAGGCTCCTGCTGCAGTCCAGAACCTTCTCGACGCGCTTGAGTTCGATGTGCCTGCACTGAGCGGTACAGTCCAGCTACACAACAAAACACAATGTTAGTGTGGAGTTTTATTTTTGTAAAATTTTTGTAATCCTTAAAATTGAGTTGGTTTGTCTGGGTTCAGGTTGTGATGGCCAATTTGCTGACCAACCAGTCAGTGTAGTTGACAAGTTTAGCAAGTTTTTACTTTTTTCCCCTCATTATAAAAATAAAAATATATAAATAACTAAATATATAAATAGTCTGTCTGTCTATACCAGGCATAGGCAACTCCAGTCTTGTCCTGCAGACTTTACCCCCATCAAACACACCTGACAAAAAACTAACCTATATCTTTAGAATTGCTTGAAAAGTACAGGAAGGTGTGTTCAATTAAGGATGGAACTAAACTCTGCAGGATAGTGGCCCTCCAGGACCGAAGCTGCCTAAGCCTGATCTACACTTCAAAAGTTTGGGGTCAGTAATTTTTTTTTTTTGAGATCTTGAAAGAAGTCTCTTATGCTCACCAAGACTGCATAAAAGTAAAAACTGTAATATTGTGAAACATTATTACAATTTAAAATAATTGTTTTCTATTTTAATATATTTTAAAATGTATTTCTTTTGACAAAGCTTAATTTCCAACAGCCATTACTCCAGTGTCACATGATCCTTCAGAAATCATTCAAATATGCATATATTTGATGCTCAAGAAACATTTCTTATTGTTGAAAATAGTTGTGCTGCTTAATATTTTTGTGCGAACTGATACTTTAAGGATTCTTTGATAAACAGATGCTGCTCAGGGTCAGATGAACCTAAAACCAGCCTTATTATACAGGAGTTAATTAAAAGCGATGAATTGACTAGTTGTTCAGATAACCCACCGACTAGTTGATTTAGAAAACGTAACTTTGGAGATCTCTAGAGTTTACCTGCACGAGCTAGTAAAGTGCGTGCAGCCAGGTCAAAGCGGTGTTTCCTGCTGGCTGCAGAGCGTCCTCTGGGAGTAGGGCCAGCAGAGGAAGAGCCCAAATCTTGATCAAGACCTTCAGGACTAGAGGGAGAGAGAAGTAACAGAATGATAAATGGTCAACAAAAATAAAGCTACACACTGTTTTCTTACACTCATGCAACAATACAATTTGTCATGCCATACATTCTGTAGGTATTATACCTCTCACTGAATCCCTCCTCCATCTCTGCAGCATCAGCGTTAGGAATGTCACCCGGTGAGCGCAGGTAGCTCCTCTCTGTGCTCTTACCCCCTCCTGCCGCACCGGAGAAGGGGTCTGAAGCCTCATCAGAGTCTGCCGTGCCTGGGTGTTCTATCATCCACATCGCAAGCACAGTGATGTTCTGAGCATCTGCCTCACCACGTGCACCTACAGACCAACACAGAACATACTCTGAATATCTGAAATGATAACGTGGAAAAAAGGAGAAACTCTGAATTTACACATAACATTTCTATGAGAGTGAAAGTGTGTCTACCTGTTGCTTCCAAAGCTTTCATGATCTGCCTGAGTGAGAAACCCATTTCCAACAGCGGAACTGCGATGGCAGGAGGAGGTGGAGATGTGGAAAGACGACTGCTGGGGTCTGATAATGCTTGGAGCAAATAAATAAACGCAGTCAGCTGTTTAATACAGGACTATATATAAATGGATATACAGTCATGTACAAAAGGTCTGAAAGACAGCCTTTCTAATTAAATACATTTTTTCCATTACAAATTATATCATCATCATAATTTGAGTGAAATGTTGAATCTTTTTATATGATTTTACTTTTTTTCATTTTCCTGTACTATTTATCATTGATTACTGTACTTCTACATTTATGTAACAATTTTTACTGATGTGACAAACGTACAATGCAAAGGAGGGTTGGGGTGGGTTCAATGGTAATTTCATTGTGTATTTCTTTATTTTCTTTAATTTTTTCTGTTCTTGTTCATTGTCAGTGTGTTATCAAACTTTTGGACCACATTTTATTAATTAAGAACCAAACATTGTATGTATTTGTACCTGTCCTGCTGGTGGTCCTAGCAGGCTGGGACTCAGGTGACGTGAGGCTCTGTCTCCGGCCGTGCTCGTCTGATGGCGAGGTGGGCAGTGATGACACGGGAGGGGTCTGAGCTCTACGTGCTGGCAGAAGTGTGGTTGTCGGGTAGCTGGAGAACATCTGCCTGCTCAAACATGCACATGCAGATCAATCAGGACATAGATTGAAAGATTAATTGTTCACACACTCTCAAAGAGACAAAGTGTGTGTGTACCTGAGCAGGCTGAGTGGCATCACTCCAGGTGATTCAGAAGCCGGTGCCGTCTCGGCGTCTGTGACAGGTGTGGTGGCTGTGGTAACGGGTGTGGTCGCTGTGGTGGTGTCCTCCAGTGAGGAGCTCATAAAGGAGGTGCTACTGGAGGCTGATGGGGAGGTGGTGACCGGAGTTTGAAATAGTTGGTCTCCCTCTAACTCCTCACACTCTGTGTCCACTAAAAACACACACATTCACATATTTTATGAAGAGAACTGTGGCCCTTGAGAATGAGAGTGGGGACAAAATGCTACTATTTTGCCATGAAAAAAATAAAATAAATCATAGCTTGCAACAGAACCAATCTAAACCAAAAATTCTTGACCCATTAGACCAAAAAGAATAATTTCTAATAATGTTGAATGAATCTTCATTCAAATGATGTGACTTTACATTACATATAGACTCCAACCATTTAAAAAAATGGTTTAAATAAATTAACAAATAAAATAAATAAAAAAACATTAGCCTTCAACAGAGTTCTGACAACGTCGTTTTACTCTCAAATCAGCATATTAGAATGATTTCTGAGGGATCATGTGACACTAAAGTAATGGCTGCTGAAAAAAATTAGCAACTTTAGCAACAAATTATATTAAAACAGATACAACAGTTATTTTAAATTGTAATAATATTTCACAAGATTACTGTATTTACAATATTTTTGATCAAATACATGCAGCCTTGGTGAGCAAGACACTTCTTTCAAAAAATCTATACAATAAATTAACAAATAAAATAAATAAAAAAACATTAGCCTTCAACAGAGTTCTGACAACGTCGTTTTACTCTCAAATCAGCATATTAGAATGATTTCTGAGGGATCATGTGACACTAAAGTAATGGCTGCTGAAAAAAATCAGCTTTAGCAACAAATTATATTAAAACAGATACAACAGTTATTTTAAATTGTAATAATATTTCACAAGATTACTGTATTTACAATATTTTTGATCAAATACATGCAGCCTTGGTGAGCAAGACACTTCTTTCAAAAAATCTATACTATATCGTATAGATACAGTCAGTTTACGTGTATCAGGTTTGTTTTATGTTTTCTGATATACCTGTCTTGGAACTGTGGCCTTCCTGTTCTTCAAGTAGGCTATTGACCACCAGTTTGTAGATCATGACTTGCGCCCGCTCTAGGTCTGCCAGCCCAAGTGCCCTTTTGATGGGTGACCTCATCACTGCCCGTTTCACCATGTGTCGCATCAAAAACTGCAGAGCCGATCGCAGCTCCGCCTCCTCCTGACACACGCTCACGCCAGGGCTGGCACAATCCGCGTTATGGCCACTGTCAGGTGTGACTTTGGGGATCAGCAGCAGTTCGGCGTATTTACTACAGCTCAGAAGGACACTTAGGGTCTTCATCGCTCCCAGATACAGGTACGACAACTGCACCGCATGCACCTCCACCTGCGCAGCTGCCTCCTGTGAGCGTGTCCCCACCATCTCCTGTAGCCTGCGCCGTCCCTCCGCTGGAGTCTGCTGCGTGGCATCCTGCGTGTAGGCAGCCAGCTCGCTCTCGGAGCGGGAGTTGGGTGGCGCACAAGCTCGAACCTCGTCCAAGCTGTGAGATACACGCAGGTCACCTGCCCCCTCTTTTGGTTTGGTGTGTGACTTGTTCTCCGGTTCTTCCTGGGGTTCGTGGCGGTGTCTCCGCTCGTGCCGCCGACCAGAGGTGGACTTCGAGCCATCATCCTGTAGGCTGGCGAGGGCGGTGAGGTCCAGCAGCAGAGCAGCAGTGAGTCCGCGGAAACGTGAAACATCGAAGGGTAGAGGCTCAATTGGCTCCAAGTTGTACAACGGCGTGTCACTGGGCGACCAAAAAGTGGGGAAGCTTCAATGAAAAGGAGTGACAAACCAAACAGAGAGAGAGAAAGAGACAGAGAGAGAAAGTGAGGGGGCAGGGAGGAGGGCCAGGGAACATGCAACATCATGGAGCTAATGCAAAGGAAAAAGTCAATGAAATGATTAGGGAGGAAGAAAAGTGGATAAAGAGAGCAAGGAGAGCAGAAGACAGAAAAGTAGGAGAGCCCTGGGGAGCAGGAACGAGGTAAAAGCCTCAATTTCACATTCATATAAACCACTCAAACAGATACCCATCTCTCACCTGATGGTAATCTCCGCCTCATCCCACTGCACCTTAGCTGATGTGCTCCCCTCCTTCACCACACCCAGCAGAGTGGCATGTCTCCCCGTCTGCTTGTGCACACACCGTCCCCCCATCCTTAACCCACCATCTATTCCCCCTATCACAGCTAACACCGGCCACACCTGGTGGCACAGCGTCCGCAGGTGCGTCTCCGACAGCTCTGCCGCAGTGTGCCGTCCGCTTCTTCCTCTCTCCACCTCTCGCTCTTCCTCCTTCTCGTCCTGCTCCTCTCTGCTCTGAGCCGAGCGGCTCTTGCGCAGTCTGGTGGCCCCTGCTGGAGGAGCTCCTTCTCGCAGGCAGCCTCTGATCTGCTGGAGGCGCTGGAGGATGCTGCTGTTGATAGTTTGAGTCCAGCGCTCCGAGCGGTGTAAGATCCGGACCAGCTGGGTGGTGGCTTCTGCCAGGACAGTGGCCACAGGGCTGCACATTGGGTCACCAGGCAACAGGTCACGTGGTGTGCCCCTCATCTGCATGTCACAGATTTTTACCTGCAGGGTAGGGGTGGGTGATATACTGGTTATATAGAAAACACTAGAAAGTTGTCAATCAGTATGCATTTTTGTTGATATCGTTGTTATGGCAGTGCTACATGACTTTCTACAGCAAAAGACATCATATTTTAGTTCTGAATGTGACTTTGCAGTCTGAAGTGACTATTAGATAAGACAAAATATAGGCAAGAAAACATGTTTCTGTTAAGCTTTACAGGCAAAAATCGAACAACCAATGTGAACAGTGTTTTGATTAAAAAAGGCTCTTATGAACTGCTTTTTTTTTTAAGGAATCATTCAAAAAAAGTATATATATATATATATATTATATTATATATAACTATTAAAAACATGTTGGTTAATTGAAATAAAGCTGAAATGAAATAAAATATAAATATTTGATGAAAAACCTAAACATAATGAAATTAGAAATGTTACCTTGGTATAAAATTTAATTAAATTTTAAGCAATAAAATTACTAAATGAAAAAAAGAAACTATAACTAAAACTGAAATAAAAATGAACTGAAATATTTTACATAAAAAAAACTAATTAAAATGAAAATAGGCACATTAAATGTATATAAAAAATTTTTTTTAATTAAATTAAAATGTAAAATATTAAGCTTTATAACTTGTATTGAAAAAATTATAAACATTCATACATTTGTTTCATAGCAATTTATGTGACTATTCAAATAAAAAAAGGCATCATATTTTGTTATTGACCCAAAAGCTTTACGAATATCATGATATAATTGTGCTTATGTTGCCCACCTCTAGGGTGAAGCAATCAGAGTGTAGACTGACCTTCCACCAACATGATTATGCAGTCTGAACAGTTCATCAGTTATTTTAGATAAACAGAGGATCACAGAGTTTAAATCAACATCAGCAATTGTGTGTCTTACCTTCTCCCCAGGGTTGCTGCTGTAGAACATGACACAAGGGTAGAGCTCTGTAGCATCGACATCTTCAAATGCCAGTTTGGGTTCCTGCCACATAAGCACATATGATAAAAGAGAGTTGAAAAGAGAATGCTGATGAAAGAGAATGTGTATTATAGCTCAGTTATTGATATGCAAGTTGGTCAATGCTGAATATTTGTGTGTTTGTAAGTGGGCTGCACTGCACCTCTCCGTTCTTGCCAAAGGACACAGTCCTGGCCTCCATGTCCAGCACACAGGTGATGTAGTCTCCCTGTGTGTAGCTGGACAGCGTGAGGGTCTGCTCTCCGTTATGGTAGAGGTTGCCGCTGTAAGCGCGGTAGAGCCACATGTCGGCTGTTGTGCGGTGGTTGAAATCATGCACAGGCCAGCGTGACACACCCACACACGTTCCCTCATTTCCACGATTCTCCTTCACGATATAGAACTGAAAACAAATAATACACACTTTCATACTCACACAGCTCAACACAATGCACATCTTGTGCTATTGGCTTACACAAAGTCAGCATATTATGCACCAAATCAGCATATTAGAAAGATTTCTGAAGGAAAATGTAGCTTTGCCATCACAGGAATTAGGTTTTAAAATAACTTAAAATAGAAAAGTAATTTTAGATTGAAAAAAATATTTCACAATATCACTGCTTTTACTGTAGTTTTGATCAAATAGTGTAGTTTTGATCCCAAACTTCTGAACGTTAGTGTAAAATAAAGTGTGTAGAACCTTCCACTGGTAACAGCCAGAGGAAATGCCAGTGGAGGCCAGGCCGTAACCTTTGCCTCCACTGCCATGCGTCAATCCCTGTCCGCTTTCCACCACACAGCACTGTGCCTTCTCAGGGTCAAAGGTTACTTCCTGGATAGGCAAATTTTCTTCTTCCTCCTCTGATTCACCCTAAAACAACAAGATGGCATTTAATGGCATCTCAGAAAAGTGAATGTTGAGTATGAGTACATTTTAACGCATTACAACCTCTTACACTTGACTGACTGAATCTCCCTCACCTGTAGTTTGAGTTCCTGCTCTCTCTCCTTCATCTGGACGGTGTGTTTGGCTTGAGCAACAGGTGCCTCCCACATACAGTCCGAGAGCAGCGCGAACAACCTCTCCACCACCTACCACACAAAGACAAGTTAACTTAACTCTGCAACAGATATTCCATTTTTTTAAAAAAAGAGCACAATAGAGGTGTGTGGATTTAGACCTGGGTCATCTGATGGTCCTCCACGCTGCTCTCACAGGCAGGAAGCACAGCTTCCAAAACATGCAGGGCTAACAGCCGTGTTCTCAAATTACCAACCAAAGGAATGCCTAAAAAATACACACATTTAACTAATCTAACAACTAGCTCACAGACAAGATGACGTTGCTGGGACACTGCTGTATTACCTGAACAGCGTTTCTGAGCAGCAATGTTGAGAAGGACTTCAGTCCATTTAGGAGAGGCCATCTTGGACTGGATGGCTTTGGAAGAGACGACTCGCCGCAGAAACACCAAGAAGTCTCCGAGGTGCAGCTCTGCTGTGTGTCTCTTACGTAACAATGCTACACAAAATTAAAAGCAATATATTAAAAACACAAAATTAAGTAAATTAGTGAGCATGTTGCTGTTGACTTGCAATTGTCCTACCTCGAAAATCTTTTTTCGGAGCATCTGCACAGTCGTCAGTCTTCTCCTGCAGTTCTGTACTTGCACTGAGTGTGCTTCCAGCAGCCTGAGCCAGCAGAGTCTTCAGCTGACTGCAAAGAAGATCCAGCAGAGCCTGGACCACCTTAGGACTCAACCTGTCTGCATATGTCCTGATGGAAAGATAGGAAAGAGCAAGAGTTAATGAATTTGTTTTGCTCCTGTTAAGAGAAGTATTAACCGTGTAATGTGACCAAACAAACCTAATTAGCTACTGATAAATTAAACTACTGGTCAAATGTTTGGGGTTTGTAAAAGAAGTCTCTTATGTTCACCATGAATTCATTTATTTGATCATTTATTTGTTTTGTGTTTTAAAGGGGTCATATGATGCTTTTTTTAAAGATCATTATTTGGTGTATTTGGTGTAACAGAATATGTTGACATGCTTTAATGTTCAAAAAACACTTTATTTTTCAAATACTGTACATTATTGTAGGTCCTCTATGCCCCGCCTCTCTCAAACGCTTCGTTTTCTACAAAGTCCCTCCTTCCGACAAGTGCAGTCTGCTCTGATTGGCCAGCTGACCAAGTGCATTGTGATTGGCCGAACACCGCAAGTCGGAAATGTAACGCCCCTTACCATAATCATGAGCTTCATCTTTCAAAATAAATGTAAAGACAGTAAATAATGTAATTAGTTTTACCATCAGTTCAAGCCCAAAAGGGAAACAGACACAGTAATGATGCAGTACACAAGCCGCGGTTAAGACAGCTGACTCTACTGTGATGTGACGCTGTCTCTCTCTCTCTCACACACGCGCGCGCGCACACACACACACGATGCGCAAAACTCCTCATTTGAACAGTCAATAGCAAATACTTAAACTAATAACAAAACAGTAGCTGATTCAGAAGCGCCAGATTGTCATAGCAAAGTCAGAATTACCTCACGCCTTCTTTCTTTGCATGAACATATGGGCGCATTATGCAAATATTCCCACATAGTGACCTAGATATGTGGGGGCGTGTTAGAACGAGCCTTTTTAGGGGGGCGTGGCAGAGTCTTAACTTTTATAAAGAATATCTCTTTAGTTTTGAGACTTTAGTCTTTGCAACTTCAGGGATCTTATCTATGCACAATCATCTTGTAACACTCCAAAGAGAAAGGAAAACTTGAAATCGCATCATATGACCCCTTTAATATATTTTAAAATGAAATGTATTCCTGATGATGACAAAGCTGAATCTTCAAAGAAACCTTATGCTGATTTTGTGCTCAATAATCATTTGAAAACACTTGTGCGGTTTAATAGTTGTGTGAAAACAGTTGTGATATTTTGAAGGATTCTTTGATGAATAAAATGTTCAAAAGAACAGCATTTAATTGAAATAGAAATCTTTTGTAACTGTCAAAGTCTTTACTGTCACTTCTGATTAATTTAATGCATCCTTTCCGAATAAAAGTATAGTGGGTCTAAAGAACTTTCATGGACTAGCTAAATAATTTAAAACATTTGAGGTTCAGAACGGCTATGAAAAAACAGGTATTAACCAAGAGAACTGTGTTGTACCCGGTGCTGATGGCTAGTATCTGCAGCAATCTGGTGCTGGCCACTTTGAGGGCAGTGCTGAGCTGAGATCCTGCAGGCTTGTGCAGGAGTTGCAGTGTCTGTCCAAGCAGGGTTTCCGTTCCACAAAGCTGAGAAAGAACGTCCAAGAGACCGCTGGAGATGGCTAACGATACATCAACAGGCTGGTATCGCACACTTAGAGCGAAGACCGTTACCAACAGCAGCCTTTGCTGGGCCTCTGTAAACACACACAGCATTGTGAAAATATGTTCAGTATAATATATGCTACATAAATTAATATATTGAATGTGTGCTCAAATACACTACCTATGTGGTGCTTGTTAGCTTGCAGGGCTTTCTCTAATGTGACTGATAGCTGCTGATAAATCTTATGAACAGCAGTCTGAATGTCCATCTGT